ATTATAACGCACCCACGACTGAAAGGGTGAGTATGTTTGGTGAGACGATGATTCGAACCCGCGACCCGCAGATTGCGAGTCAAGCACTCTAGCCACCTGGCCATGCCGGGCCACTGTAAAGTTTGTCCCGACTTGTTTTCATTTTCCCCTGCGTGACATGTTCACTGCTGTACATTTACTTCCCACTATTGCATAATGCATGATTTAATTTTGGTTTTAGTTGCTGTATTTCACATAAAGCTATTCTTGGGCTATCTGAGCTAGCCGTCCCTAATTTATCCGAAAGGGGACCGAGGGCCGCTCGGAAGGGTCACCTGTTTTAACCACTCACATCACTATACAGTAGTGTGCTGTCAGTCAGTCAGTAGACACTGAAATGACGTCACATATGGCACGATTAACGTCGCAATTTGTACTGTCGTGACGTCAGTAAAACCGTGCGCATGCCATGAATCACGAGAAGGATTATGCGTTCTGTAGGCTACAACACAGCATGACATATGAAGTTGAAAAGCAAGAACTAAATATATTTGTTACTCTTAATTTTGGTTTTAGTTACTCTTGAAACAGAACACTTTCGGGTAGCCTACGGGAGTACATCTAGTTTAGAAGTGATACACTGGAGGGACGGTAGCTAGTTAACGCCCTCCCACCGCCATCTTTGGGGCTACTCTAATCGAGTAGGAAACTCCATCAATCAAACTTTTTTTTATCCAATCAGGACAGGAAATACAATAATCATGAAATAAGGGCATTATTGAAATACGAAAACAGTTACTAGACGATGTGAGGTATTTCCATTTTATTTTCTAAATATTTTTTACAGTCGTTGAAATGCGCAATGAAACAGAGTTTTTAAAATTAGGCTTAAAGTTCAGCTTCTAATGATGAATTATTTCATTTATTTATTAATGATAAAGTGATATTTCTTCCTGCCACTTTTAATATGGAAAATCAAATTAATTAAGAATAAAAATAATAGCTAAATTACTTACTTTGATTTTAAAAAATGTAAATCGTCATAAGGTCACAACTTGATAAAAAATATTGAACAATAATAATCACGGCATACCTTCATATTAAATTTTACATGTTTTAAATTCGTAATTTTTATGACAACTTACAATATATGAAATTCAAAGATTTAATGCCATAAGAGTCAACACAAAGCCTTAAAATGAGTTATAATACTTTCACTAAAAATGTATAAATAAAAGCAGCTTATTTTTGTGATCTGTGAAACAATCACCAAAGAAAGACTTACGAACCAACCACGCATTTCTGAATACCAAACCCTCTGGTGTTAGATAAGACAAGCAGACAGGAGGCGAAAATTCATCTGTTAACAGCTTAGATCGTTCCTCATCTGGACATAGGAAACGAAAATTACATAGGGAATGCTCTTTATATATCTTAATAGTCCTATTGTACATAAACTGATTTTTACATTTTTAAAATTTTGTTTTGATTTACGAAATCGATAAGCAATTTCGAGCTATTCCCAAACATATACAACTTTCAATTATAAAATATTGTTATAAGCTATATTTTTAATACTGTAATTTAGATCTTAACTAGAGTGAACATTACTTTAAGATC